GTCTATAATGTTTATTTGAGTGGGATACGTTATACGTGACCGAACAATAAAAATAAGAAATATATGGTCGCTTTACTGAGTGTTACACTCGGTAAAGAGGCATTTTGCCAAGTGCTAAGGTAAAAACACTCGGCAAAGAGGATACGTGGCCAAAATATGTGCATTCTAGGACTAAAATGGCTCTTTTGCCGAGTGTCTGCGCTGTGACACTCAACAAAGAAGCCAACATTTGTATGTTCTGGGTCAGTCTTTACCGAGTGTCTAGTATTTGATACTCGACACAGAAGGTAGGTTTGTCGAGTGTTCCGGATTTGACACTCGGCAAAGAAGGCATGTTTACCGAGTATCAGATAATGGACACTCGGCAAAGAAGCAAGCATTTATACGTTCTAGGCTAGTCTTTGCCGAGTGTCCAGTATTTGACATTCGGCAAAGAATTCAGGTTTGCCGAGTGCCCGGGATTTGACACTCGACAAAGATGTTAGGTTTGCTGAATTCACGTTACTTTTTTTCCTCGAGCGTCGGTTTCAGCTCTCAACAAAGTATTTACCAAGTGCCCGAAAGAAAACACTCGACAAAGAGACGTTTGCCGGCACTATAGATGCCGTGTGCTGTTTGTCGAGTGTTACACTCGACTAATCCTTTGCCGAGTGTTTTGTGGGCTTTGCCGAGTGCATGTGGCACACAGCAAAGCCACTGTTTCCGGTAGTGACTGTGGTTGAGTCCAAAACTCCAAATATTGTTCAACGAACTAAATAATAAGAGAAATTAGCAAGCTGGCCTACGTAAATAGCACGGGTAGCTAGTTTGTTTAGTATAGCATTTGGATTTTTTATTCTAATAATATTTTTACAAATAGTTTTATTTATTTGATTATAATTGTTTTTTTCTCGTTCGTCTTTACTCTATCTATTGGTATGAACTCTAATTGTAGCTCAGAGCTATTGTCACTCTTTTTTTGTCTCTTTATTTTCTCTATTACTATCTTGTGACTATGTAATTTAAACTGAGGCGAAACTAAGAAGTCTTCGTTTCTCGTCTTGGTGAGCTTTTTTGGTGATAAAACTATTTTTCCGAGTCTTTATCCGGTTCCTTGGCTCTCTTGTAGATTTAAATTCGAGATGTTCTTGCATCTTCTATAATGAATCTATAGCTGTTTTTTAGTATCGTTTGATTAATCACAATACTTCTCATGTCTTGAGCTATCCGCTAGGAGTTTGACACCACTATGTAGTTTCAGGTAACCATGAGACAACTTAAAAGACAACTTCTTGGTAAGTTGTCCTTTTGGTGTCTCATAGTAACTCACAATGCCTTGATTTGTGCATAAAACAAAATAAACATGGTGATTTGCATGGCAACGATAGCTCATACAATGATGTGGGACTTGTCATATAGTTCTAGATTTTAGCTTATTGGATGCTTGTTTCGCAGTGAAACAACAATCTCTTTTGTCACCTCGCTATTGTTCCACTTCATCAAAATTCGAATATGCCTTTGCATTAGACTATTGCGAACATATGATTGATATGTGCCCATATGTGTCGAGTTGATGATGAGTGATTGTCAGGAGATGATCAAGACTTGGTTAAGTTTGGAGACTAGCCATCGCGTGAGTATGGTGTTGTGCAACATGTCTCTTGTTTGTGTTGGTGCGCAGGTGTGGAACACATAGATGGTTGACGTTCGTGGGGAAGGTTAAGTAGAGACAGCCTGTGTCGATGGACATGGAGCGGTGAAGGACGGACATGAGGTTTGGACCAAGGGACCAAGGGACCAAGGTGACCAGAAGGTAGGCCATGGGTGGCTGACACTTGAGGACATCGACATGCAAGTACACATGTGGAGGAGTAGACCATGTTGACCATCCCACCCTTCACCAGGTGAACCTTCTCAAGGCTTTGGTGGCAAAGCGTCCGGCTTAAGGGGCTGAAGAGCGGGCCCGGAAGCCTATAACAACCCGGGTTTTCGTGCATCTAAAAATAAAGAGCTTTTTAAAATTTTCCTGCAATGTGTGAATCACGTAGTCGCTAAGTCAAACCTGAGTCAAACTAAGGAGAGTTTATAAATAAATTGGTGCATCCGAATATACTTTGATTGTAGGAGAGCAAAGTACACCAGTTGATTTCAGACTTGCACTTTAGTTAGTGATTTAATGTTTGGTTTGGAGACATCGTGTAATGGAATGGTCCCATCTCAGATTTTGGAGACGGACTATCCCATTTATTGTTTGGTTGAGTGAGTACTTGTCTGTCCCTTTTTATTTGATTCAGGGACTATAAAAGTGGGATAATCCCTGACATGTGGGACACACCCATCAGTCTCATTTTTTTTCTTTTTCCTCCCCTATCTTCCTTTCCCACACACGCGAGAAACTGAAGCCTGTGTGGAGGGCCTGGGGACGCATCTTGTCGGGGCCGAGGGAGCCAGCCCCTGCAGCGATGCGCGATGGGGCAGTGGGCGGAGCCCGCACGCGCGCGAGGCTGGGGCTGGGGGCCCACACGACAGTGCGAGGCAAGGTAGGGGCGGCACCCGCCCGCATGGCGGAGCTCGCTAGGACCAGGGGCGAAGCCTGACTACCCTCTCTTCTCTTTCTTCTCCTCTACGTCACTGTTCACGCAAACATGCCCGTGTCCCAGGTGGGACAGCTAAATCTGTCAAAATTTAGGGTGGAGTTGCCCCAAATCATAAAGGTATATTTCTTTAGGAAATGACTTTGCTCCTTGTTGTCTCTCAACGAGACACTTGACTACCTGAGACCATTCCACCCTTAGAACCAAACGCACGCTGCCTTAAAGTCTCAAAGTCTCGAGAAGACGGCTGGAGGGCTCGAGAGGGACTACCTGTTTGTGCAGGCCCCGCAGACTAGCCTACAAGAAGCGTGTGTGGGAGAACTCGGTGGACTATGGGGGTGTTTAGATGTTTTTGGAATGTCAAAACTTTTGTCTCTAATCTTTTGTTATAAAACTTTTGCCATTCAAACTTTTGACATTTGGTGTTTAGATGCATGGCAAAACTTTAGCCATGTAGACACAACACGTGCTCCCAAGACGTTTTTTTGCCCAGTTTTGGGCCTTTTTGTCCCAAATGCCAAAAGTTTTGCAGCCCAAGTTTTATTTTTTTGCCTATATTGTTTAGATCCATTTTATCGAAAGATGAAATAAAACAGCAAAAAATTTGGCCAAAATAGGAAACTACACAGGCCCTATGAAGCCAAGAGAAGCTGAGGCGCGGCCGATGGCCTCGGTCTCAGGCCCCAGGTAGCCGACGGAACCCCTCTCGCAAGGGCTACCGGGCGTGTGGCGGCGGGGAAGGCTCAGTTGGCCCACGCGAACCGATGGGCCTGTGACTTCGTGAGAGGAACTAGTCGGAGGGAGCGAGACAGGCTGCTCCAACTCGGGCGAAGGGAGGTTGTCGGAGGGAGATCGATTGTTGCTGCGGCTTTTGACGGCGGCGCGAGGCAGAATCGGGCGCTATTGAGGACGATTGGGAGTACTGTGATGATCCGTAGACACGTGACAGTGTCCGAGCAACGCATGGCGCCAATGGCGGGCGGGAGCATATGCCAAGGCCGAGCTGGGGGCAGCTGCACGGCCTCCGAAAGTGGTATGTAAGCGCCGCTGGGCTGGATTTACTGCACCGCTGCGTGGTGAGCAGTGAATTGAACTTTTACTTCAGTGAATTCGATAGATCGATCTATTCAGTTATAGTCAAGGGGACACAGAACCTTGTTTGAAAGGTGTAAATAAATGTACCGTGAAACAGAATGATACGCGCACAGGTAGTGAAAAATTAATAGTATCCGGTGTGCCGTATTTCACTTTATTCATTCAAAAGTAGGGCGTATATATCACTTTATTTACTATGCCAGTTCAATATTGTAACCAATACACTGCTACTTAACTTTGCAGTAATTTGACCAGAGAACACAGGACGTGCAAGTTCTCGTGAGAGGATCCCCGTGCATGCTTATACGTACATTAAAAAAACATAAAGTAAAAGCGGGGTTTTATGTTGTATACCTTAGACAAAATGTGAATATTTTGAGAATCTCTGGAAATATCTAGACAAAGCTGCTAGGCACGCATGTGTCGTGCCGGCACGACAAGCCTTTTTTCTTTCTTGGCACATGGACAGATCATAGCCCACCAGCTTACATTCGTGTCGCATCAGCCCAAACACGAACAGTGTTTTTCAGCCAAGTTCAGCCAGTCAAACGGGGCCATAGTCTTCTTCGGCCACTCATTGGCTTGTATAGTTTTTGGTGCATCGAGATTTGATCTTGTGCTTCACGGTTATTCTACAGGACGTTGTGGATGTGAATGTCTATTTACTAGCATTTGTCTTTCAAAACTAACAAATGGCTACATATCCGTACACAAAAAAGACATGTCTCATTTGTAAAAAAAAAAGACATGTCTCGTGTTTTCCTGAATTACTACTGTATTATTTATGTTAGGAGCTAGGCCGTATAAAAGGCATGCACCAATAGAGGGACTATTTAGTATTTAGTGTTGTGCTATCCAAGCATGATTAAAGATATATAGTTTGTGTCGTGTAACTCATCGTGCCAAGATCTTACGTGTAATAAGACAAAAAATTATCGTGCCATGCTGTAGTTTGAACCGTGCCACGAGTTGTTCTAAAATGACCGTGCCTAAGTCCTAGTATAGCTCTAGTGACAAGCACATTAAATCAGGTCAACTTCTTGCTGGCTTTCCCATCTCTGTTCCCCTTTGGCCAATGTCCATGAATTAATCCTTCCATCCTTTTCTATGCTTAGGTCTTCGTTAGCCAGCCTATAACCAAACTTGTTTACACCTCCCAACAAGCTATGACGTCGCTGAGTTCGAGATGAGATCGATCTTGCTGCGTGGAATTTGACCCTGGTAGTGAGATCGCCCAGTGACCCCTAGTCTCTGCATATAGCCTGCACTTATTGACCACTGCCTCGTCCCCCCACACGCCATTCCACACTTCACCACCGGCAGCCGGGAACCATGGCAGCGGCTAGGGCGCACCTCCTAGCCTTCCTATCGGTTCTCACGACGATGGTGGTCGCCCTCTCTTCGTTGGCTGCCGGTGGTGGTCGCATGACGGACCAGCTCGACATACTCTGGGGCCCGACGCAGCTTCTCAACGGAAGCAACGGCGACGACCAGACCATCGGGCTGTCGCTGGACCGCGTCATGGGGTCGGGTTTCCGGTCCAAGACCTCCTATCTGTTCGCCAGGATCGACATCGAGATCAAGCTCGTCCCGGGCAACTCCGCCGGCACCGTCACGACGGTTTACGTGAGTGAGCAACAAGACATGCAAGCATATACTACTTTGACATTATTATTCATGCATGCCAGCTTGTGAACGACCATTTGCCGATTTGCGTTCGTTCCTAGCTCTCTGACTCTGAGTGATGGATGCTATGCGCATGCAGTTGATGTCTGAAAAGCAGTGGAAGACCCATGACGAGATCGACCTGGAGTTCCTTGGCAACCTGACCGGCCAGCCGTACATCCTGCACACCAACATCTTCGCCAATGGGTCCGGTGGCAGGGAGGTGCAGTACCGGCTCTGGTTTGACCCTACTCTAGACTTCCACACCTATTCCATCATCTGGAATTCAGACGAGATCCTGTAAGCCCCTCTGTTCTTCACTACATCCACGGAGTTTTTTTTAGCAGTCGCTAGCTTTCAGTGACGAGACTTTGCTGAAACAACAAGTTTTCCTTCAAAAGTGAGCGAATGAGACAATGAGCTGAGTTTCAGGATCCTGGTCGACAACAAGGCGATCCGGCGGTTCAGGAACCACTGGGACGCCGGCGTCCCCTTCCCGGTGTACCAGCCGATGAGGCTGAACGGCGTGCTCTGGGACGCCGACGACTGGGCGACGCAGGGCGGGCGCGTCAAGACGGACTGGTCCCAGGCGCCGTTCACCGCCTACTTCCGGAACTACCGCGCCAACGGCTGCGAGCCGAGCGGGTTCGCGTGGGTGTGCGGCCAGCAGGGCGCGGCGCCCGGCGGCGGCGACCGGTTCGACGGCGGAGCGGCTGGGCTGGACGACATGAAGCAGCAGGAGCAGCTGAGGGAGGCGCAGGATAGGTACATGATCTACAACTACTGCACCGACTCCAAGAGGTTCCCCGGTGGCGGCTTCCCCACGGAATGTGGGTTGGCGTAGAGTACAAGTGATGGTCAGATTGTTTCATTTTTTTCTCTCTAGACTAGAGGAACGAAAACAAGAACAGATGTGCAACCATTTCTAGATTGGTCATCATACGCAGAGATTGTATTATTACTCCGATGCCTAGCATATACTTGATAGATATGTCAGCCGCTGAAATTTTCCCGCGAGTGGAGGGATGCTCAAGCAATGTTTCGGTGCTCATGTATGTGGCCTCGACGTAAGCAAAGCGAGACGTGTCGTATCCTCCGATCATTAAAAAAACAATAAAATGATTTTAGCACCGATAAGTTTTGAAATATATTTTAGTAGTATATCTATTCGGTGCTGTAAAATATGATTTAAAAAAAATTGTCAAATTTTAAATAACTTTTTGAAGGGTGAAATTTTAGATAATTTAAGAGGTAGTCAATTGCGTACCTGGTAGAAAGGTACACCTGAATTTTGTGAGCATGTTACAGAAAAGACTGGTTGTTTCAAGTTTTAACGCAGTCACTGCAGAACGCATAATCCCTTTTGGAAGTGATTCGGTTTTACTGTCGGGTGGTAAGTCTAGGATTCGAACAATAACTTTTTAGTTTTGAATTTTATCATCGGAGGTTGTTAAGATAATCATATTTTTTTTCGCGATCACGCCAAAGCACGTTTTCATTAAGCGGAAATAGAGTTTAACAATACAAAGCTTGAACTGTAATTGATGATTACCAAGCCAAACGCCTACAAAGCTCACACGGTTGTGATTACAAAAAGAACAATTTAGCGACAGCCTTGAGGAACTAGCACGGCAGCAAACACCAAAGGAGGCCCTAAACCAAGCGGCTAAAGAGCATCGTGCTCCAACCCAGTAAAGTCCAGCTCCATGATTACCGGATCCACACGATCAGAGAATAGCGCCTTAAGGGTTCATGTTTAGAGGCTGACAACAGCGCAACAAAGATGGCCTGGAATCTATCGAAAGCCTCAGGACCCAGACTCTGCGCCATGTTGGTGACCTAGTTAGAAAAATAATGTGGGTCCCATATGTCATATCCTTGCTGCTGATATGTGGGTCTCATCTGTCATATCCATGTAAGCGTTAAGTCAACATGTCACGTCAACTAACGGGTCGGGTAAACGCTCATTTGAACATAGATAAGACCCAAACTAACTTCAAAGACAAAAGAAAGCATTTTAAGATTTTGTGGATGACACCTCCTTTTAACTTTGGAGACACGGTGAATTTCACTCGAACGGATTTTGATAGTTGTATGGTCAAATATTTCTTGTTTTAAAGTTTCATTGTTAAAATTTAAACTTTGACCATAGTTTGATGGTAAAAAATAGACTTCTTTTCACAAGAGAAAAAGAATATATAAAAGTGGTTAGGATAATTTAAAAATATTACAAGATTGCTGAGGTAAAATTGTCTTCTATATTTTATGATTGAATTATTGAAAACGGTTAGAGATGGTCTTATTTATTTCTCCTAATACTTTTTGACGAGTTAGAAAACTAAATGGTTTTGAGAAAAAATTCTTGAAATCTCTTGGAGATGATCTTATTACCACACTACGTAACATAAGTTGACATATCTAAAACGGCTTTAAAACATGGAGTATCTATATAGATCTTGTTTTGTAGGATTTTCAATTGTGCAAGCGAATTTAAAAATATATTTTACATGCGAATAATATAATGACATTAAACTGCTTGGAATGTCTAGTTAATGCACCGCAACTTTTCAACGTTTCTACTTGTTCTATGCTGTTCTCTCATGCAGACAAAAAAAAATGAGGCGTGCACCGCGTTGTTTTCTGTTCTCTGTTGTATTGTCGCGCGTTAACGTGCTTACTTAAGAAAAAAAATTCCTCCATAAAAGAAAAGAAATTCCATTTTTTTTTTGTTATATAGGGCAGAAAACGCCCATCGGGATGCTGGAGCAGAAGCAGCAAACGGACGCATGCGGTCTGATTTTGTGAAGAAGCTGGAGAGAGGAGGCGCATGCGCTCGCCGCTCGCATTTTACCTTTTCTTTCTCCTGAATCCGTCTTTCACGGATGGCCATCTACTTCGCCCCGCTTCCCCCACCCCTCCCCGGATCGTTCTCTCTCCCAAGAATTCCCCAATTCGATCGGCAAGTACAGCCCTCTGGCCTCAGGTGAGAGAATGATCGGAATCCGTCGTCATCATTTTTTCTTTTCGCCCTTTCGCACGCGATGTTGTTAGAACAATAATTTTTTATTGCTTAATTTTAACATTCTTTTGATACGAAATCAGGCTAGGGTTCTTCATCAACATCCAGCATGTCAGTGTCTATGAAGGATTTGGACCCGGCCTTCCACGGAGCTGGGCAAAAGGAGTATCCTTTTTCGCATGCTTCCCTGTACTATGTACCTTTTTCATAGCCTGACATCTTTATATCATCGAGACGCATTGTGAGACCATAGGATGACTCAAGTGTGGATGACAAATAGCCAATTGATTGTAACAGTAAACATGCTTACCAGTAAGCAGCTAATTAGTGTTTCTGCAGGTTAGTCTGAGAAACACACAGAAGTTGCATACTGTTTGTCTGTTAAACTGTTAAAAAACACTTACATTGTCTTTTCAGTGCTCCCAGGTAGTGATTGCTCTCTAGTGTCTACTATATCTGATTTTGCTGTGAGATGCTCCTAAAGTTTGACATGATCCTGAAAATGTAAAACACATATAGTAAGCGTAATAGTTATTCAAATGTCTTGACTTCAGTATTACTTGCCAGGAGCCATAAGTTCTAATGGTTACAAACTTACACTGTATGACACAGTAGAACTTCATTTGACATGAACTGTAAAACTGTCTGTCTATCATGTCGCAAGTGTTTCGCTTTAGACAAAATTAAAAGTGTAGATATATTGGGTTAGAGGGTGGCTGAACTAATCAGAGAACCTCTTGATAACTAAACTATATAGGAATGGTGATGAGGTTGATGTAAATATCCAGCAAACACTCAATCCTTTCGAAGTTTCTTTGTCATTTTGCCCTAATTAACTTTCCTGCTTTGTTCATAAGAGTTCCTTCTACAAGCATTGTACTCCTTAATTTTGTTATAGCGGTCTGGTGGTATGGCGTATTGAGAATTTTAAGCCAGTTCCTGTGGCAACATCTTCACATGGAAAATTTTACATGGGTGATTCATATATCATCTTGAAGGTATGGATTTACTGATGCCTTTTTATGAATATCCCTTTCTTTAGGAAGATTATTGGTGCATCTTAATTGAAAGGTAAAATAGTTGGTCCTGCTTGAAACAAAATCTTAGAGGCTCTGAGAAATCTGTGACAAATATTTTCTCAGTTTTTTTTTCTGTTTCTCATCTTGTATCATTTAATATAACCCTTGATGGTGCATGATATGCTTCCCTGTCCATGAAGTTCTCATCATGACAGTACAGTCTGTTTATGGTTGATCTCAGTATTACCTTTTTTTACTGCACTGAATATTTTTTCCTTATGTTCCCTGCAGACAACAGCTTTGAAAAATGGTTCCTTTCGCCATGACATCCATTATTGGCTTGGTAAAGACACTAGTCAGGTAGATTTTCAAACCTGCATCACTTGATTTTGCTCTTCACTTGATTTTGCTCTTCAGGGATATTATAATGGTATTTTTTGTTAATTGACACCTCTCAGAAAATGCCCATTCTTTTCCTTGGTAGGATGAGGCTGTAACTGCTGCAATTTTAACTGTGGAGCTTGATGCTGCGCTTGGAGGACGTGCTGTCCAGTACCGGGAATTACAGGGCAATGAAACTGAAAGGTTTCTCTCATATTTTAGGCCTTGCATCATGCCACAACCAGGAGGGGTAGCTTCTGGGTTCAACCATGTAGAAGTCAATGATCAGGAGCATGTTACCCGCTTATATGTGTGCAGAGGGAAACATGTTGTCCATGTTAAAGAGGTGAGCTATCTAAAGCACTATATATTTTTTTCCAACTAACAAGGTTTGCTCATTTGCTGATTATGCTTTCTATTTTACGACTAGGTTCCTTTTACTCGTTCGTCCCTTAACCATGAGGACATATTTATTTTGGATACCAAGTCCAAAATTTTCCAGTTCAATGGTTCCAACTCATGCATTCAAGAGAGGGCAAAAGCTCTTCAAGTTGTACAGTATATCAAAGATACTTTCCATGAGGGCAAGTGTGAAGTTGCAGGGGTTGGTAAGCAAATACATTAATGTACTAGAATATGAGAAATTCAGAAGTTGCATTTAAGAAGATGTGATAATTTAAATTTCTCTTCTAGAGGATGGGAAATTAATGGCTGATGCGGAAGCTGGTGAATTTTGGGCTTTGTTTGGTGGCTTCGCTCCTCTTCCAAGGAAGACACCTTCAGAGGATAAGGAAGACAGGGAAATCGCCATCAAATTGATATGGTATCTCACTACCATTTGTTTTAAAAGATCAATACCATTTTTCCCATGTCCACAAAGCATCAGTTTTAGTTGTCAACAAGAACAATAATATACTATTTAAATTATGCCATCTGTTAGATTAAATTTCTCTTGAAATTATGAAATTGAATGAATTATTTATTTGACTTCCCAGCATCAACCAAGGAAAATTGGAGCAAATTATTTTTGAATCCTTGGCGCGTGAGTTACTTGAGCCAAACAAATGCTACTTGCTTGACTGCGGTGCTGAAATGTATGTTTGGATGGGCAGAAGTACTTCTTTGCAAGAAAGAAAGGGTGCGAGCAATGCTGCTGAGGTATCTGCATAAATTACTTACGCATCTTCATATATTTTTTTGAACGAATGCTTCTTCATTATATCCACTCTAAGATATTATTAAAAAAATAGTTATTTCACTCTCAAATTTAAGGAAAGCTAGTTACTTCACTCTCAAAATGGAAAGAGCTAATTATTTTTCTTGGGCTCACTACTCATAATGATTATTTTGTAAAACATTTTTTTCTTAATGTTCACAACATATTCATGTTTTACAGTATTATGCATCTGTGCACGCTCAGTTTCTTTTACCTCTATACAGAAACTACTCATTGATGATAGCCGAGCAAAATCACATGTTATCAAAGTGATCGAGGGATTCGAGACAGTCATGTTCAAGTCAAAATTTATTGAGTGGCCACCCACACCTGATTTGAAGTTATCATCTGAGGACGGAAGAGGCAAAGTTGCAGGTTATTGTCTACATATTATCAGTTCCAGGGCAAGATATTGCTAATAGCCAAATTTCACACTTTTATCCACTGTTTCATCTTGCAGCTCTCCTCAAAAGTCAAGGATTAGATGTTAAAGGCTTGATGAAAGCCACACCTGTAAAAGAAGAACCCCAGCCTTACATTGATTGCACAGGTCATTTGCAGGTATTATCTTTTCCAACTCTTATAGCTCTTTGTGCAAGGCGCTAAGTACCTTCCTCTTGGTTTTGGATCTTTTTAGATTCCATCCCAAACCTACCCTAACTTGAAACCAAAGGCTTTGTTGTTTTTTGCTAGTTATCTCCCAAAGGTTGTGTTCTAGCTCCCAACTGCACTTTTTTCTCGAACACGCAGGAGAGCTGCGCGTTATTTCATTAAAGGTAGATAAAAAAAGGGTCTGAATACATGCCGAATTCCAAGGCTTGGTTAGTTGAATTTTACATGCACGTATTTGGATAAGCTCCCAACTGCACTCGTGCAAGCTAAACAAAACTACCTTGAATACATGTATGCAAAATATGTCATCTGGATGACGGGATTCCTAATATCCCAAATTCAACCATACCGTCGATCTACACCCATCTCCTTTGATATCTGCCTTCCAACCAAAGTTAATAGGCAAAAGTTTGCCATAGCATTCATCCATTTATTTTAGGTGCAAGTTTCATGGTGGTTTTGTAACCTGTGTATTGGCATCAGGTATGGAGGGTGAATGGAAATGGCAAGACTCTTCTTTCAGCTGCTGACCAATCAAAATTTTACACTGGGGATTGTTACATTTTTCAATACACATATACTGGAGATGACAAGGAGGAATGTCTTATTGGAACTTGGTTCGGGAAGAGAAGTGTTGAGGTAATATCTGCGCACAAAATCAACATCAGTAATGGTCTCAGGAATTTAAACCCACACGGATTTATTTAAGTCAAGGGATATTTTCATTGTTCCTTGTTGTATCTGCCTATGTTTCTAATAAATGTGTTTTTGAGTCAAGTTACTCCTTGTGAATTGATCTTACTTGCTTTCAGGTGGAGAGGGTGTCAGCGATGTCACTGGCTAGCAAGATGGTTCATGCTGCAAAGTTCCAGGCTGTCCAGGTAATTCTCTGAATATTTATATCTTAAATCATATTTTTGGTCTATAATTTATTTTTTAATGCACAGGCTCGGCTTTATGAAGGGAAAGAACCAATTCAGTTCTTTGTCATATTTCAGAGTCTTCAAGTGTTCAAGGTTTGCTTCAAGTTAGCAGTCAAAATCCTTGACCTGTTCTGAAAAATCTCATACTTCATGTTGAATGTTCTATATGTTTCCTCTCTGTCTGAATTTTCAATATAGGGTGGCCTTAGCTCTGGATACAAGAACTTTGTTGTTGAAAATGATATTGTGGATGACACTTACTCTGAAGGTGGGATTGCCCTATTCCGGATTCAGGGTTCAGGATCAGAAAACATGCAAGCACTTCAAGTAGACACAGTAAGTTTGGCATACTTTGGTTTGTCAAGATATCTATGAGAACATTAGTCTTCTCTTCATAAATGAGCTTCTTAATCTTTCTCATCTTTTTGTTAGCTGGCTTCGTCCTTAAACTCGTCCTATTGTTACATTCTACACAATGGAAACACCGTGTTCACATGGACTGGCAACGCTACGACCTCATTGGATCATGACTTGGTTGAGAGGCAGCTAGATGTAATTAAGGTCTGAATATTCTTTCTCATTGGGGTGAATACACCTTTGTACTTACGAAGATTTCCTGATGATTAGCACATTGGTAATTTGGTATCAATGTAAAACCTTGACTAAACCCCCCCTGCAAAGGTTTTCCATGTTTCTGATAAAAAAAATAGTCTGAGTATGTTATACATGAAGCAATGCTCAATGGCGCTTTTGTTTGTGTCACATGTTCTGCGTATTTGAATTCATTATGCTTTTCATTTGTCTTAACTCTTCTTTGTGCTTCTGTTTTTTATTGTACAGCCAGATCTGCCTTCCAGGTCACAGAAGGAGGGGAGAGAAACCGACCAATTCTGGGAACTACTGGGTGGTAAATCCAAGTATCCAAACCAAAAAGTTGGAAGAGAAAATGAAAGTGACCCCCATCTTTTCTCATGCATCATATCCAAAGGTAACTGCACACAAGGATTTTCTAGGTTGAATTCACTGTTCGACATCTGCTGACACTTCTCTTCTTTGGCTACTAATGTTGTTGTCGTGAAGGCAATATAAAGGTAAGGAAAACAAAGATGTCAAGGTTTTATCGCTAAGTGCTTTCTTGATTTCTTGTCTAATACAAACATTGATTTTAAAATGTATATCAGGTCAAAGAAATACACAACTTTACTCAGGATGATCTGATGACAGAGGATGTTTTCATTCTTGATTGTCTCTCAGACATATTTGTTTGGGTTGGCCAGGAGGTGGATGCCAAAGTGAAATCACAAGCTATGAATATTGGAGAGGTTAAGCCAAAATTATCCTCCATAGTCTAATCAGTAATTACGATTTTTATTTGTTTCTCACTTTCTTTGTCACTGTAACTGCCAGAAATTTCTTGTTCATGATTTCCTTATGGAGAAACTATCACGAGAAACACCAATATTCACTGTGTCAGAAGGTAGCGAGCCACATTTTTTTACTAGATTCTTCAACTGGGACTGCACAAAATCTCTTGTAAGTAATCTTTCAAAAAAAAATCTCTTGCAAGTAGTTTATGTGTCCTGTACTTGCTTATTGTGAATTAACACCAATTCTATTCCATGAGATTTACACCTATGTATTCCTGCCTGCTATTTAGCTTTGGAAATTAATTCATCTTTACACTTCTGAATTTTTGTTGCAGATGCATGGCAGTTCATACCAGAGGAAGTTTGCTGTCCTAAAGGATGGAGCACCTCCATCACTGGAAGTAAGTCTCAAACAAATCATCTTCCAGTAGCTCGGTGGAAATCATCTTCTACCTGCTTCTTGTGAATTTAGTATTAGTTTCTATCCCAGTATTTGGTTGCAAATTAACTTTTTATTCATGATCTCCATGTTTATTGATACTTTTGCCTTTTTCAACACTATTAACTTCTTGTGCGGGTATATAGATGATCACAAATTCATGTTTTCAGCATTTTAAGTAGGACTAGTATGTCATTTGTATGATTGAGCCTCAACATATATATGCTGACCATAAGGTTTCATAGAAGGACTACAGGGTGGCTAAACTGGCATCTGAGTTCAAGTCCACTATCTAAAAGCAACTCTCTTACTATCTCCATGTTTTCAGAAACCAAAACGACGAACACCAGCATTTACGGGAAGAAGTTCGGGACAAGATAAATCTCAGCGTTCAAGAAGCATGTCCACTAGCCCAGATCGTCCACGTGTTCGTGGAAGGTCTCCAGCCTTCAATATCTTAACTTCTGCCTTTGAGAACACAAGCAAAAGCAATACCAGGAACCTTTCCACCCCTCCCCCCGCTGTGAGAAAGCTTTTCCCAAAATCTGGAGGCCCTGAACACTCAAGGGTGTCACCCAAAAAATCAGCTATCACTTTTGAAGGTCCCTTGAAAAGTACAATACCAAAATCTGTAAAAGGTATAGTGAATACAGCTCTTTAAATTTCAATTCTGGCATAACATGGAGAGCAAATGTTCCAGTACCTTATCTCTCTCGTTTCTGAATCTTTTTGCAAAACTAAGTGAGCCATGAGCCAGAGAAGGCGATGCAGGGGGAAGGTGCCGCAGGCTGTGCAAATGAAAACGAGCAAGAAGATGATGAAGGGCGCACGATCTACCCATATGAACGTCTGACAACCACAGCTGAAGATCCTGCCCCTGACATCGACTTGACCAAACGAGAGGTGACAAATTGATCTTCCACCTTACTTTCACATACGTTTGTCAGATCAGATGACGCTGCCCTTTACTGTTATCAACTAAATGCAGGCCTACTTGTCGTCAGCCGAGTTCAATGACAAATTCAACATGACAAGGGCGGCGTTCTACAAGCTCCCCAAGTGGAAGCAGAACAAATTGAAGTCTGGTGTCCAGCTTTTTTAGCCTGCCCGCAGTCGTCTTGACTCCGGCCTGAAGACAGTAACCGTTTGTGAGTGAGGGCACCGGTTTTCGTGTTTAGAGCTCCTTTCTTTACCTACTTAGCCTATTCGTTTTTGAAAGTTCTTGTTTTTTCCATTTACAGGATCTAAGATTCATTCAGAGTTCAACAGGTTTGGAATTCCAGAGCTCACTTCTGTTGTGGGGCTCTTTGGATCATATGTTGATTCTTTTTTTCCCCAGTTTGGATGTTTGTGTTCTGGGCTTGTTTGGACTGTGGTCAGCAAAGGTCGTCACGATTTGAGATACTTGTACTTTGGCGCAATGGCACAAGCATGCACAGGAAACTGATTAAACCGATGCACAGACGAAACTATGAGATGCCTAATTTCACTTACATTTGCTTTAATAAATGAGAGTCCAGTTGCAGTTTTTTCCTACCTGTTTTTACCATATCAATACATTTTTAAGGTTTAGACAAACAAAGCTGCAATATTTTTTGGTTTGTTCTTGTCATGAACCTACTCCCCCGTCCTTAAATAATTGTCATTTTCGTTTCTCGAGAAATAACTTTGACTAAATATATATGAAAATATTAATATTTATGATACAAAATTAATATCATTAGATAATCGTTGAATCTATTTTCATAATAATTTATTTAGACATATAAATGTTGCACACATTTTCTACGATTCTAGTAAAACTTACGGCACGAAAACAAAACCAAAAGCGACAGTTATTTAGGGATGAAGGGAGTAGATCAGAGCTACCGCGCGGGTGCGGCGGTGTGCGCAAGGCGAGGACGCGTCGACCTTGTGTGCATGGACAGGCGGTTCGCGACAAGATGCTGCTAAGCCCATACGTGCGTTGGGAGTATACCTGCCACTAGCTAGGGTATGAACAAATCCTCGCTTATTCATTTTTTTCGAGAACGTGCATAGCATGTGTTTCATTAAGAAGAAATTAGAAGTTTTACACGTCCAACATCACATCACGGCGAGATGCCATGAGTGATGGGGTTGAACACGAACACAAGGTACTGCTAGACGGTGAAACACTCGCTGTTGTAACTAAGTAAGAAACTAAATGTGCGACTGAAGAGCTTGCGACATTGAACGAAGCCTTGCTCAAGATGCATGCGTCGCCTCCCGCCTCCCGTGAGCACCAGCCATGGGGAAGAGCTCCCGCATTACCGCGCGCTTGGACGACGACAACGGCTCTCGGAACGTCTTGTGTCCACACTTATTCATGTTCAAATCCATATCATCATTATTATTCATTTCTCACCCTCTCCAATCTTATCCATACCCATTGGATAATAACCAAGTTTATCCATACTCATTGTTTTGAATTGAACTACTGGTTTGTATTAATATTTTACACATATACTTGTTATATATACATGTGGACTGCATATCAAAACTGGACCTCTGGATTGAAAACCTCGCGTTCACACCTTAAAATTTTAATGAAACTAACTGAAACTTGATGAAATAACTCGTTATAGTAGTTTACAACTTTGTGTAGACTGCAGCTAGATTTAATTGTGGGCCCCACATTAAAAAGCCGGACTCTAAAGGTAAAAATGTCGCGTTCACACCTTAAAATTTTCATGAAATTGACTAAAATTAGTTGGAGATGATTTGCTATAGCATGCATCAATTTTGTGTAGATTAATATTGCCAATTATATATGTGAGCCCCACATCAAAAGTTGGACCCTAAAATTAAAAGCTCAAGTTCACACCTTAAATTTTTCGCAAAATTGACTGAAATTATTTGGGGATGACTCGTTATAGCAAGCAACAAGCTAGCAACTTTGTGCAGATTAATATTGCCAATTATGTATGTAGGCCCACATCAAAAGCTAGACCCTAAAATTAAAACCCACCTTAAATTTTTCATGAAATTGTTTGGAATTAATTGGAGATGACTCGTTATAGCAGGCATGAACATTGTGCAGATTATTGCAGTAATATCAACACGTGGGTCCCACATACTTTGTATTATTTAATCGATCAATTTATAGTAATAAATGATTGATAATCCACTCCCCATACTCTCTCCTCTCCATTTCTATTGGGTAAAAAAAATTACCCATACCCTACCCAAATAAGATGGGTAAGGGTTTGAATAAGGGTATTGGATACCCACCTACCGGTCTAGTCGAGAGGATTCTTTTAATATATAAGTAAAGAGATTGATAGATGGGTCCCACTAAACAATAGCTAACGGCATCAAATCCACTCGTCATCCTATCTCTATTTATCCCCTTAACCGAATAAAAAACAAAGATCATCCTGTCCCTTGACCAAACAACAAACATGAACCATCCCATTTCTAAAATGTCTTCGACCCATCCCACTACGCCTCCGAACCAAACGCTACCTTGAGAAAGGTGCTGTGGAAGAACCCAGTACTAAGAGACGAACATCAACAATTGCGTTCATATTTTAGTGCAAAAGATTGCAAGTCTAGAGCCACCTCCCGCAAAGCAATAAGTCTCTCGAAAAAGAAGTTTCGGGCTTCAGTTTCAGGTACCACAGATGTGCTAATCTGTCGGGCAAGGGCACCAGTTTTACTCCTTATCGCCACCACCATCTGATAGAGATGTTTAGGGTCTGCATCTGGGTAATAAGATGACATCATTGGTGCTTGTGAGGCTGCCAGCTGAGGTTTCATCTTCTTTGCGGGTGTACCAAGGCAAGGTGAGTTAGCAACACCAATGGGTTCTTTTCTTGCTTTTTTATCTTTTACAGAAGTTGAAGACGATGACTTTGGACCTGTTGCTGATAAAACTTCTCCAGAAAGCAAAGACTCCAGCTGTATATCAGGTGTGGATGATACAGATTCTGACAATGTCTTCCTGTTTTTGGATAAATACTCAACGGTTTCCAAAGTTGGGACATCCTTTGTCTCATCTATAGCCTTCAGACGATCTAACATGTCCTCCGTTACTTTAGAACAGCCTTCGCAGTCTTGAGACTGCACGATGTGCGATCTCATATGTGAAATGCTGCGTGATCCAGGACAAATCCACCCACAGGCTAGGCACCTAAATGCATGCCGCCTAACCTGTTTATCCAGTTTAGGTAGTTTCATGGCAAACTGCCATAATCCTTCAACTTCGTCATTGTCCAGGCTGCAGGATTAATGTGCACAAACACGGCAATATACATTCAGATCATGAAATTGTCAGCTGTGGAACTAGAAAAACTACATGTGGACAATACACAATACACTGCAATAATTACAAGTAAAATTAGAACATCACTTACCGGATGGCGCTCGGGAAGTATAGATGTATATAGTCTGATATAGAGGTTTCAATACGCTCGGCGCTGCGTCTGATGGCAGGCATAGATCTTGTTTGTGTTAAGATCATCAATTTTGTGCATAAGGTCAAGAGCTACGAATCTTCCTTGGCATCCTCGAAATAACTCTACAGATTTCTGACAGAAAGAAGTAGCCTCTTCAAACTTTTGATCACTTAGCATATCTAACAATCTTTCCTCACGCGGAATCATAAACAGCCCAGGATGCGTCATGACAACTTCATCAGGGGTCTTGTTGAGGATGGTTGCAACCAACTTGCCCAGGTAATCATCCAAACCTTCCCACTCTTGCTTGACAATAAAGGCGTTCACCACTGAGGCATCAAAAGTCAGCAGCCTGCAGGCACAACCACAGTAACAATGTGTGGGTCAGATTTCCACGGTCAGAAAGCGTGGCCACATACTCAAATCATACATGAAGTGGAAAACACATGTGACGGGATCTAGGATAGCAAGGTCTGGATCTGGTTTCCAGGATCCCGGTGGAGCTGCCGCATACACAAATCATACAAGAAGAGGAAAAAAAAACAATCGCTGTAAGGACTGAACCGGGATCTGGTGGGACTGCCGCATACACAGATCACACAAGAGAGAAAAAAAAAACAAGCGCGGCAGGACTGAACTGAGAACACATAGATCATGTGCAGCATGGAAAATGATTTGAAGACAGAGCGGTTCTTACTTAGGAGAACTGGACGGTGGGTCTGACATTTTCTGATCCATGAGGTTAGCCGCGGTTATCCTGCAAGCTAGCACCACAAAACAAAATGTGAGCACGCCTGCAGTAACATTGTCCAGAAGTTATTTCCACAATATTATCGATGGCCACATAAACAAATCATACATGAGACATGGCCTGAACTAAACACACAAATATCACGTAGAAATTAATGCACAACTGAAACTACAAAGACTACACTCAATATATCAGTCAGAACAGAAGATACGCTGTTTCACAGAACTGCAACGCAAACGGTAGAAATAGCATGTCCAAGTTCACGTGACAGATATACCCTAAAACAATCAACTACGAGATAACATGTGCGCGTCAGATTTATTGACGTCAACCCCTCCTCATCAACACCACGAACCACACATCTGCCTAACACCGAATCGCAGAAATCGCCCATCTGTCGTCCAACTCTAATCTCACGAATGCGCATGGAGAAGACATGCACAAACGAGCAACACCTCCCGACGAACCGAGGCAACCGAAACTACGCACAAACCAAAACCAGGAGGCTGGCGCCTGGAACCGACTGGGGAGAGACTAGGGTTTCGACCTGGCACTTACGTCGTTAGACGAGAAGTCGCGAGTGGAGCGAGAGGTTTCAATCCTTTGCTGCGGGCGCAGCCGCGGACGCAGATCGGATCGGTGACGAGCCCGGAAATCTTCGTATGTGCCGTTCCTTCATATCGCGTGGGTTTTGCGTCGCGCGGCCGGCCGTTCCTTCATATCGCGTCGGCTTTGCGTCGTGCGCGGTTGGGTCTGCTGGAGCGGAAGAAAAAGTAGTTCGTGGTCCCACGGCGCCACGACGGTGTCTGCCACAACCATATGTGGGTCGGCAACTCGGCATGACCTTTTCTTTTTCCTTTTCTTTTTCATTTTTTATTCTTTTATTTTTATCAATAATGATTCTACGAGGACATCCGTCCCCAACTCGCGTCAAGACGCGGGCCCTTATCCCATCCCGTGACCCCTCCGCTTCCCCGCGCCCTCGGAACGAATGCCGAGCCTGCGCCCAGCCCCAGAACGAACGCCGAGCCCGCGCCTAGCTCGCTGCCGCCCCGCCCACCTGCGATCCCTCCCTCCCTCCCCCTTCCGCGACCTCCATTGCGACCCCCCCACCACCACCATCGATGAGGACGACAGCGGCGGCTCCGACGAGTTAGGTCGGTTCTCCTCTGGATCTGAGCCCTCCTCCCTCTCCTCTGGATTTGATAGATGCTACAGTGCTATGGCTCCGGTGAGCTCGTGGTCCTATTTCCTCCTCCCTCCGACGAGCTTGAAGGTCATGGGCCAGGGGCTAGAGCAGCTTGCACCTTCGAATCCATCCCCTTGCTGTTTGTACACCTTTTTGTTGTTTCTCCGTGTTGGGGGGGTTTTTAGAATGGTGCAACAAATGATTATTGAATGTTACAATAGGCGTGATTCATGTGTTGCGGAAAGGGAGTTCTAATGGTGGGACTGTTGCAATAGGAGATTTTAATTGTTGAAATTACCTTTTTCAAATATTGCAGCACTCAAAGATGATTTTTGAGTTGTTTCCATTTCCATGTTTCATTGTTGCTTCTGCGTAGTTGTAGTACTATTGTTTAAGACGTTGCAGTACATAATTTTTTATGTTGTAGTACATAATTTCTGATGTTGCACTACATAGTTTACATATTTTTTACGATGTTGCACTTTGAAGTGTTTCGTGCTCTTTGGGACAAGGGTGCGGTGGGGAACGGGGCACGGTGGGGGAACGGGCGCGGTGGGGAACGGGCACATGGGGCGCGGTGGGGGACAAGGGGCGTGGCGCGGATGGCGGCGCGGCGGGGGGATTGGTCACCGCAAATGGCGTGGGCGGACGCTCCTGTCCGGATTGGTTCGTCGCACGTATTGCTCCTGTCCGGATTGAATCGAATCGTTATGTTGGCTTGGTCGGGATCGGATGGTTCCTGTTACGACAATCGAGTGGTCCCGAGATGCGTCCAGACGCGCACTAGCATCCGGGCGCTAGGTACGCCGTATTTTTATTTAATGTTCCTTGTCTATTTACATCATTTTGTATTTCATTTTTCTTCTTATTTTTATTTTTTACTTTTTCTTATTCATTTATTTTATTTTTCTTTTCCTTTTTCTTTATTTTATTTTTGAAATTGTTTTACTTTTATTTTATTTATTTTTCTTATTATTTTCCTTTTCCTTAATATTTTATTCTTTTTTGTTCCCATTTATATTTAAATCGTTGTTTACCTTTCATTTTTTTCTTTATTCTTTTCTCTAGTTTTCTCTTTTTACTTATTATTTTGCTTGCTCTCTTCATTACTTTTTATATGTTTTATGATGTATTTTGCGATGTTGATATATAATATATACATGTGATGTTCACGTAGTATAAAGTACTATGATTACATTGTACTTTATGAGATGTTATATGATATATTTTAGGTTGTTCAAGTATTATCCATATGATGTTTTTTATTTTCCTATATTATATGTTTCTTGTTTTTATCATTCGTATTGTGTTGTTCACGTAGTATACATAGTATAAGGGGATTGTCGCGGATCTAATACTGGGATACCCAATGAGGTAGAGTTGATAAGTACCAACGACATTCCCAATCGAACAGGAGCGCAACGACTCCGCCTCGTCCGACCCCCGAGGGCCGGACTCCGCCTCGTCTAGCCCCCGAGGGCCAGACTCCGCCTCGTCCGACCGACAAGGGCTGAGCACCGCCTCACCCGACGTCCTCATCCTGCCCCTCCATGATGGCAGGAACAGGGTAGGACAGGACGTTAGGGTCAAACCACGGGGGCAAGGACCATGCCCTGCTCCACTGACAAGTACCATCGAAGTACGACGGGACGAGCGCTTTAGGCCCTGCCGGACATGACAGAACCTGAGTAGTACTGTAGGCACCGGGTTTTACGGCCTACAGTATTGCGGGCGCCGTCTTCAACCCTCGAGCACGGAGCCTGACACAAACACCGCAATAGGACTCACGTCCCCGGTGCTGACAAGCGTACGGGTGCCGCACCGTTCGCCCCCACAGTATCGCAGGCCGGCACTCCTGCCCGACACGTCGCCCGTAGAGGCGGGATGGGACGTGACCACTTGCAGAACGCAGCATCATCGGCACACAAGTACCCGGCGAACGTGCCAACCTCTGACACCAGCTGGTCGTGTCTGAGGCTGGCTTGGAGGAAAAGGAAGACCCGAGCTCTTCGAAGGACCTTCTGTACCCTTGGTATTTTTCACCTGTAACCCTTGCTCCCCCTTCGTCTATAAAAGGGAAGACAGGGCTCCCTAGGGAGGGAGGACCGAACAAATCGACTTTGAACGGACAACTCACATACAGACGAGCTCATAGAGCCTTCTGTTCCACGCACACACAGCCAAGTCGCCGCCAGGCCCTTGGCATCCTTTCGACCCCTCCATCAGAGACCTGGGACCCGTCCCTCTCTTGACCGTTTGTACCCCCTACTACGAACCATATTTGGTGCTAATAATACAAGCAGCGACAGTGGACTGGACGTAGGGACATTCGGCCCAAACCAGTATAAACCTTGTGTCCTTTAGCACACCATCCGGGCCTAACGTGCATCAATTATAAATTCACTCGCCAGTGTTTGCTCGAAACACCGACAGTTGGCGCACCAGGTAGGGGACTTTGCACGTTCCAAACCAGGCCACGGATGGCTAACCACGACGTTAGTTGGGTCCCAGGCGCACATGTGCGCTTCGGGAGCCTCGATTTCATCATTACGGTGGGGGAGAGTTGGTACGGGCGAACACCGCCATCCGGTCTCTCCCCTCCACCGCCCTCGACCATAAGCGGCTTGGGCGCCAGCTCGGCGTCTCCCTTGGACCCCAGCAGTCCAGGAAGAACCAGCGTCGCCTCGCCCCTTCCAGCGACAACGACGTGGCACGACCTTCCAAAAAGAGCCACCTCTCTCTGGAGCGCCACGTGCGGGGCGCCCCGACAACGTTTCCGTACGGTCTCCGCAACGCCGTGGCAACCGCTTGCCACCTCATGGCACTGCGCATGGTCCAAAATCCCACGAACAGGGAGTTCGTAGAGGTAATTGAACACGACGCGGAGTCCCTCCACAAACTCCTCATCGAGGAGCCAGAATCATCCTCCAGCTCTGGCTCCAGCATGGGGAGCCATCACCCCTCCCGGGAGTGCTTCATGGCGGACACCTCCAAGGGGCACGTCGAAAGCGTCTCTGAGGGGACGCTACTCCAACGGCCAACCCTGACGTGAGGGACGGAGGGAGGGCGGCGGCCCCATCCCACGTAAGGACGGAGTAGCTGAGAGCACGATAGCTGGAAATCGATGATGCCGGACAACAACTCGTCCAGGAATACCAGAGAATCGATGAGGAGATCAAGCGTCGTGGGGATGGTGGACGCGCACGCGCCACGGCCCATGATGTGTACCAGAGGATCCTCACCGACGACGGAGCCCACCCTCACTTCACCCGGGCAAGCCAGAACATCGCCGCCGTAACGGCCTTATTTCACGGCCTTCCAGAGGCCGCGACGTCCGAAGATCGCCGGGCCCACCGAGAAATCCGCACGCTGCTCGAACACGCGGCGGCGCAACAGGCAGAGAGCTCGTTGTCTCGGCGACGCGAGCTCAACGCCAGCCAGCGCACGCTCTCGGTGCGTCCCGCCAAGGATGCGTCGATACACCAGACACCGCCAGGCGGCAGGCAGCGTACCCCTGTTCTGGTGCACCAACGTCTCGGCCACAACCGCGACGCACGCAGCACCATCGACACCCGTAGGCGCGCCTACAACGATTCAGGAGAAGGAGCCAGACGCGGCTACCACCCTCGGCGTGGCGGACGCTACGACAACGGCGAGGACCGGAGCCCGAGCCCCGGCCTGCCAGGCCCCCAGGCCTTCGGTCGGCACATCCTCAACGCTGCTTTCCCGCCAAGGTACCAACCACCTACCAATATCCATCAATATTCTGGAGAAACCAACCCTGGGCTTTGGCTCAAAGATTACCGGCTTGCCTATCAAGCCAGTGGTGCGAATGATGACGATTTCATTATTCG